GGCCAATGAGCGCGCGCCGGGAGTGTGTGTATGTATGTATGTATGTACGTATGTATGTGTGTGTGTATATGTGTGTGTGTGTGTGTGTGTGTAAGGGGGGGGGGGCCGGGGGTGGGGGGGGGGGGGGGGGGGGGGGGGGGGGGGGGGGGCGGGGGGGGCACTGGGATGGAGGACATGGGGCACTGGGATGGGGGCAGGAGGCACTGGGGACACTGGGACAGGGGACATGGGGCACTGGGATGGGGGCAGGAGGCACTGGGGGCACTGGGATGGGGGACATGGGGGACTGGGATGGGGGCAGGAGGCACTGGGGGCACTGGGATGGGGGACATGGGGTGCTGGATCCACTGGGGTAGGGGATAAGGGCTACTGGGAACACTGGGACAGGGGATACTGGCACTGGGAATACTGGGATGAGTGACCTGGGGGCAATGGGGACAGTGGGACACCAAGGGCCAGAAGAACGGGAGGACATTCCTGTGCATACCCCTCCCTTCTCCCCTCTCCCAGTTCCTCCCAGTTCATCCCAGTACAGCTCCGGGGTGGGGGGCCACGTACTTGTCGGAGAGGACCCCGAAGAGGCCTGAGCCCACGAGGATCCCGGCCATGTAGATGGACTGGGCCACCTGCCTCAGCTTCTTGGACTCACACACCAGGTCCCACTGCCACCAGGAGAGGACATGGGGGTCAACACCCGGACACCTGGGTCCCCACCCGTCCCCCCTGGGGGGTAAGAAGGGTTGGGGGTCACCCCTCACCTCGGTGACGATGGTGTGAGCGAAGATGCCATCCTGGTAGGTCCAACCGTCATGGCAAGGCTCGGTGGGTGCCCCGTTGGTTGTGCCGTTGACCGTGCCGTTGACTTCCAAGAGGTGCCACTGGGGCTCCACGTAACGGCGACAGCGCTGGAGACGGTGGTGGCCATCGAAGGGGATGGAGACATAGAGTGGGACATCCCCAGCGCTGTCATTGGCCACCGGTCGAGGCTGGCAGTGGTGCTCGGGGACGCCGGCGGTGAAGTTCTGCAGAAGGTTGTGGCTGGCCAACATGAGGAGTGGAATAGCCAGGGCGGCCACGTAGGTCACCTGGAAGCGGCCCATCCCGCCCAGGCGGGCCAGGAGCTCCACAAAGGTCATGGTGGGACGAGGGATGGAGCTGGGGGGGGCGTCCACCCAGGTCAGCTGGAGGACAACAGGAGGAGAAGAGGTTGAAGGATGGGCCAAGGGGTGGTTTGGGAGGAAGGGATGAGGGGACGGATCAAAGGATGGGCCCAAGGGGTGGTTGGGGTGGCCAAGGAACCGCCAAAGAATGGCCAAGGGATGGTTGGGATGGTCAATGAATGGACAGGGCCAAGGATTGGCCAAGGGGTGGCCAAGGAGCCGCCAAAGAATGGCCAAGGGGTGGTTGGGATGGTCAATGAATGGACAGGGCCAAGGATTGGCCAAGGGGTGGCCAAGGAGCCGCCAAAGAATGGCCAAGGGGTGGTTGGGATGGTCAATGAATGGACAGGGCCAAGAATGGGCCTTGACACTGATTGATAGATCACTCTATCAATCAGTGTCACCATGAATCGATCGATCACTATTGATCTATGGGGGTGTCTACTGACCTACCAATAGTCCATCAATCTGTCAGTCTCTCTGTCTATAGATCTATCAATCTAATCGATCAATCGATCAGTTTGTCGATCAATCTCAGTCTCTATTGATCCATCAGCCACTGGTTCTTTATTTCTTGCCATCAGCTCGCCCCTCGCTGCTCTCCCTCCTCCCCCCCCCCTCATTATTGATCAACCAACTAATCAATCAGCCGATCAATCAGTCTGTTGATCTGCCCATCACTCTATCAGTCAGCATCACTATCAATCAATTATTGATCTATCTGGGGTGTCTATTGGCCTATCAATAGTCCATCAGTCTGTCAGTCTCTCTATTGATCTATCAATCTATAGATCTATTGGCTATCGATCAATCTATCAACCTATTGTCTATCAATCTATCAACCTATTGTCTATCAATCAATCAATCAATCAATCGACCCACCAGTCAGTCTGTCGATTGATGTCAGTCTCTGGTGATCAATCAACCACTGGTTCTTTATTTCTTGCTGACAGCTCCGCCCCTCGCTGCTCTCCCTCCTCCCCCCCCCCTCATTATTGATCAACCAACTAATCAATCAGCCGATCAATCAGTCTGTTGATCTGCCCATCACTCTATCAGTCAGCATCACTATCAATCAATTATTGATCTATCTGGGGTGTCTATTGGCCTATCAATAGTCCATCAGTCTGTCAGTCTCTCTATTGATCTATCAATCTATAGATCTATTGGCTATCGATCAATCTATCAACCTATTGTCTATCAATCTATCAACCTATTGTCTATCAATCAATCAATCAATCAATCGACCCACCAGTCAGTCTGTCGATTGATGTCAGTCTCTGGTGATCAATCAACCACTGGTTCTTTATTTCTTGCTGACAGCTCTGCCCCTCGCTGCTCTCCCTCCTCCCCCCCCCCTCATTATTGATCAACCAACTAATCAATCAGCCGATCAATCAGTCTGTTGATCTGCCCATCACTCTATCAGTCAGCATCACTATCAATCAATTATTGATCTATCTGGGGTGTCTATTGGCCTATCAATAGTCCATCAGTCTGTCAGTCTCTCTATTGATCTATCAATCTATAGATCTATTGGCTATCGATCAATCTATCAACCTATTGTCTATCAATCTATCAACCTATTGTCTATCAATCAATCAATCAATCAATCGACCCACCAGTCAGTCTGTCGATTGATGTCAGTCTCTGGTGATCAATCAACCACTGGTTCTTTATTTCTTGCTGACAGCTCTGCCCCTCGCTGCTCTCCCTCCTCCCCCCCCCCTCATTATTGATCAACCAACTAATCAATCAGCCGATCAATCAGTCTGTTGATCTGCCCATCACTCTATCAGTCAGCATCACTATCAATCAATTATTGATCTATCTGGGGTGTCTATTGGCCTATCAATAGTCCATCAGTCTGTCAGTCTCTCTATTGATCTATCAATCTATAGATCTATTGGCTATCGATCAATCTATCAACCTATTGTCTATCAATCTATCAACCTATTGTCTATCAATCAATCAATCAATCAATCGACCCACCAGTCAGTCTGTCGATTGATGTCAGTCTCTGGTGATCAATCAACCACTGGTTCTTTATTTCTTGCTGACAGCTCTGCCCCTCGCTGCTCTCCCTCCTCCCCCCCCCCTCATTATTGATCAACCAACTAATCAATCAGCCGATCAATCAGTCTGTTGATCTGCCCATCACTCTATCAGTCAGCATCACTATCAATCAATTATTGATCTATCTGGGGTGTCTATTGGCCTATCAATAGTCCATCAGTCTGTCAGTCTCTCTATTGATCTATCAATCTATAGATCTATTGGCTATCGATCAATCTATCAACCTATTGTCTATCAATCTATCAACCTATTGTCTATCAATCAATCAATCAATCAATCGACCCACCAGTCAGTCTGTCGATTGATGTCAGTCTCTGGTGATCAATCAACCACTGGTTCTTTATTTCTTGCTGACAGCTCTGCCCCTCGCTGCTCTCCCTCCTCCCCCCCCCCTCATTATTGATCAACCAACTAATCAATCAGCCGATCAATCAGTCTGTTGATCTGCCCATCACTCTATCAGTCAGCATCACTATCAATCAATTATTGATCTATCTGGGGTGTCTATTGGCCTATCAATAGTCCATCAGTCTGTCAGTCTCTCTATTGATCTATCAATCTATAGATCTATTGGCTATCGATCAATCTATCAACCTATTGTCTATCAATCTATCAACCTATTGTCTATCAATCAATCAATCAATCAATCGACCCACCAGTCAGTCTGTCGATTGATGTCAGTCTCTGGTGATCAATCAACCACTGGTTCTTTATTTCTTGCTGACAGCTCTGCCCCTCGCTGCTCTCCCTCCTCCCCCCCCCCTCATTATTGATCAACCAACTAATCAATCAGCCGATCAATCAGTCTGTTGATCTGCCCATCACTCTATCAGTCAGCATCACTATCAATCAATTATTGATCTATCTGGGGTGTCTATTGGCCTATCAATAGTCCATCAGTCTGTCAGTCTCTCTATTGATCTATCAATCTATAGATCTATTGGCTATCGATCAATCTATCAACCTATTGTCTATCAATCTATCAACCTATTGTCTATCAATCAATCAATCAATCAATCGACCCACCAGTCAGTCTGTCGATTGATGTCAGTCTCTGGTGATCAATCAACCACTGGTTCTTTATTTCTTGCTGACAGCTCTGCCCCTCGCTGCTCTCCCTCCTCCCCCCCCCCTCATTATTGATCAACCAACTAATCAATCAGCCGATCAATCAGTCTGTTGATCTGCCCATCACTCTATCAGTCAGCATCACTATCAATCAATTATTGATCTATCTGGGGTGTCTATTGGCCTATCAATAGTCCATCAGTCTGTCAGTCTCTCTATTGATCTATCAATCTATAGATCTATTGGCTATCGATCAATCTATCAACCTATTGTCTATCAATCTATCAACCTATTGTCTATCAATCAATCAATCAATCAATCGACCCACCAGTCAGTCTGTCGATTGATGTCAGTCTCTGGTGATCAATCAACCACTGGTTCTTTATTTCTTGCTGACAGCTCTGCCCCTCGCTGCTCTCCCTCCTCCCCCCCCCCTCATTATTGATCAACCAACTAATCAATCAGCCGATCAATCAGTCTGTTGATCTGCCCATCACTCTATCAGTCAGCATCACTATCAATCAATTATTGATCTATCTGGGGTGTCTATTGGCCTATCAATAGTCCATCAGTCTGTCAGTCTCTCTATTGATCTATCAATCTATAGATCTATTGGCTATCGATCAATCTATCAACCTATTGTCTATCAATCTATCAACCTATTGTCTATCAATCAATCAATCAATCAATCGACCCACCAGTCAGTCTGTCGATTGATGTCAGTCTCTGGTGATCAATCAACCACTGGTTCTTTATTTCTTGCTGACAGCTCTGCCCCTCGCTGCTCTCCCTCCTCCCCCCCCCCTCATTATTGATCAACCAACTAATCAATCAGCCGATCAATCAGTCTGTTGATCTGCCCATCACTCTATCAGTCAGCATCACTATCAATCAATTATTGATCTATCTGGGGTGTCTATTGGCCTATCAATAGTCCATCAGTCTGTCAGTCTCTCTATTGATCTATCAATCTATAGATCTATTGGCTATCGATCAATCTATCAACCTATTGTCTATCAATCTATCAACCTATTGTCTATCAATCAATCAATCAATCAATCGACCCACCAGTCAGTCTGTCGATTGATGTCAGTCTCTGGTGATCAATCAACCACTGGTTCTTTATTTCTTGCTGACAGCTCTGCCCCTCGCTGCTCTCCCTCCTCCCCCCCCCCTCATTATTGATCAACCAACTAATCAATCAGCCGATCAATCAGTCTGTTGATCTGCCCATCACTCTATCAGTCAGCATCACTATCAATCAATTATTGATCTATCTGGGGTGTCTATTGGCCTATCAATAGTCCATCAGTCTCTCAGTCTCTCTGTCTATCGATCTATCAATCTATAGATCTATTGGCTATCGATCAATCTATCAACCTCTTCTCTATCAATCTATCAACCTATTGTCTATCAATCAATCAGTCGACCCACCAGTCAGTCTGTCGATTGATCTCAGTCTCTGGTGATCAATCGATCACTGGTTCTTTATTTCTTGCTGACAGCTCTGCCCCTCGCTGCTCTCCCTCCTCCCTCCCCCTGGCTATTGATCAACCAATCGATCGATTGATCGATGGCTCCTCTCTCCCTCCTGTCCTACCAGTCTCTCCATGGGTTCATCCCTCCATTGATCCCCCCGTGATCGATTGATCCCTACCGGCCGGTCGGCTCCTCTCCCTCTCTCTGCCGCTCTCTCGGGCTCCGGCTCGGTCTCTCCGGGGACTCGCTGTCCCTCCGTCCGTCCCTCCCTCCGTCCCTCTGTCCCTCCCCCCTCCTTATGCCACTCCCCCCCCCTCTATCTGCTTGTCTTTTGCCCCTCAATAGATCAATAGATTGCCAATCAATAGATTTCTCTACCCTCCGTGCCAACCGTCACCCAAGTGGTTGACCCGCCCCCCCATCCCTCTGCCCATCTATTGACTCCTCACCCTATCGATCGATTGATTGATCTGCTGATCAATCAATCTATAGCTCTACGTAGGGCTATTGATCAATCTCTACATCTCCCCCTCTCTATTGATCAATTTATTGGTCTCCCTATTGATCAAACCAACGAGCTCTTTCTCTACCAATGAATTATTGATCTTTAGATCTTTATTATCGATAACGTGTTGCTCATCAATTAGTCCATAATCTCTCTCTTTATTGATCAATAGTTTCTATTGGTAAAACTATTGATCTATTGATCAACCTACAGTGTCTCTATTGATCCATCTGATGGTCTGGGTATCCCTATTGCCAATAAATTGATCTATATTTGCGATCAATCTATTGGTCTGTATTTTTCTACTAAAGAATCTATTGAGCCATGATCCACCGATCAACATCTGTTGATCAATCTCTTGGTCTATCGATCAATTTATTATTTGTAATCTTTTGATTGATCAATGTATCAGTCTTAATCTCTCAATCGACCAGTCTATTGACCTTTAATCTTTCTATTGATTGATTTATTGACCTTTAATCTTTCTATTGATTGATTTATTGACCTTTAATCTCTCTATTGATTGATCTGTTGGTCTCTGTTGATCAATCTGCTGGGCTTAAATCTCACTATTGATCAATCTATTGATGTATAATCTTTCCATCGATCCCTTTCTCTCTATTGATCCATCTAATTGATCTTTAATCTCAATCTATTGACGTATGAACTTTCTATTGATCAACGTATCAATCTTAATCTCCCTGTTGATCAATCGTAATCTCTCTATTGATCAATTTCTTGACCTATAATTTTTCTATCGATCAGTCTTCCTCTCCATTGATCAATCTGTTGAGCTTTCATGTCTCCTTTGACCGCTCTCTTGGCCCCTCTCTCTCCTGATCGATGCATTGAGCTCTCTATTGATCCACCTCTATTGATCTATTGACCACTCACCTCTCCGTCGCGCTCGTTATCTCCCGCCGCTCTCGTTATCTCCCAACCTCTCCTGCACCCGTCTCTCAGCAGCTACCACCCCTTGGCCCCACGGCTGCCCATGGCCACAGCCCCGTCCCCCTCCCTGTCCCCCCTCCTATTTAAAGCCACCTCCGGTCCCAGTTAACGTTTGACTCTGGTGGGACCAAATCCCACTATGGGTCAGTGGAGATGATCTCCAGGTGGAAACGCTGACGCTGGCCAGGCCGGTCCCCGGCCAGGGATGCCCAATGGCTCCCTGGGACCACTCCATCCTCTTCCTTGAGGAAGACACCCCCAAGCCCAGGTGGATGGAGACCACCCCGACCCTCCCCCAGCTTGTTTTCACCATCCGTGGTGGCTGATTCATGGGGCAAAGTCCCCGGGGGCCCTGAACTGGATCCCTGGGAGCCCCTTGGACCCCGGGCAGGAGGGCAGCGGGAGGCAGCAGAGCGTGGGCAGAACGGGGCAGTGACCAGGGGACTTGGGGGTGGCTCGAGGGGCAGGACCACTGGCTGGATGGTTGGAGAGGTGGGTGATGGGAGGCCAGAACCTTGGGTCCTTGAGATGGTTACATCCTTGGGACATCTGGGCACCCACATGCCTTGATTCTTGGGATGGCTGGGTCCTTGGGAGGTCTGAGGACCAGGATGTCTGGGGTCCTTGGGATCTTTGGGACATCTGGATGTCCGGACCCCTGGATCCTTGGGATCTCTGGGTCCTTGGGAGGTCTGAGGACCAGGATGTCTGGGGTCCTTGGGATCTTTGGGACATCTGGATGTCTGGGGTCCTTGGGATCTTTGGGACATCTGGATGTCCGGAACCCTGGATCCTTGGGATCTCTGGGGTCCTTGGGATCTTTGGGACATCTGGATGTCCGGAACCCTGGATCCTTGGGATCTCTGGGTCCTGGGGATCCCTGGGCACCCCAATACGTGGGTCCTCAGGGCTCCTGGGTCCTCCTCATGCTCTTGAGTGTGACTCTTCCTCCCTCTCAGCTCTGGTGCACGCAGAGGGAGGAGGGGAAGGGGTTGAACACGCGGTGCCGAGGCCCCAGCACCCCACTGGGTCCCATATTTTCCTTCGGGGTGGGGCGGTCAGGCTGTGTGGGACCCCCTGTGGCCGTGGGAAAACAACCCTCCCCCCCCAACTCTCCCTCCCACCGGCTGCATTTCACACAAATTTTTTTGCTTTTATTATCTTTTTTTATTCCAGCACAGAAAAACCATCCCGCGAAGCGGCGGTTGGAGAAGAGGCACCATCCCCCAGTCCTACCCGGAGAGGAGGACACCCAGGTCCCCTCCTTGGCCAAGCAAGAGGGTGCCCGTGGTCATCACCGTCCCTTTGCTCTTCTTGGGGGGGGATGCAACCCCCCCAAGCCCCACTCCTGCTCCTTCATCTGCTGGGTCTGGGGGAGCCTGGGGGTCCCCCGAGGTGGTTGGCACTAGCAGGGCCCCGTGGTATCTCTGGGCTGGGTGGGCTGAAGTGGGATCTGGAGATCTTGGGCTTCATCCTTCTGGTGTTGGGTCCTGGGGGGAGAGAAAGGATGAGGTGCAAGGTTTTTTTGGGAGGGCAGGTGGGTTTTAATGCTGCTAGTCCTCCTCCTTCCCCATTGACCTCTCCATCCATCTTCATAGACATCCGTCTGTCCATCCTTTCATCCATCGCCTTTGTCTTCTTCTTGTCCATCCATCCATCCATCCATCCATCCATCCATCCCTTCACACACCTCCATCCTTCCACACCCAAGTCCAACCAACCCTTCCCTCTCACCATCCCTCCCTCCGTCCACCCGTCCATCCATCCCTCCCTGTGTCCATCCATCCCTCCCTCTGTCCACCCGTCCCTCCCCTTGTCCTTCCGTCCCTCCAGTCCCACCTGCCCTCCACCTCATCCACAGTCTCAGGCAGTGCCTTGTCCCGTGTCTCCGGCAGGAAGATGGCCACCAGCCCCGACACCACCGGGGCCACCCCGTAGATGATGAAGGGCAACGTAGGGAAGACCTCACCCGCTATCTTCACCAAGGGGGCTATGATGCTGCCCAGCCGGGACATGGTGTTGGCCAACCCCATACCCGTCTGCCTGTGGGACACCAAGAGGCCCTGAGGAACCAGCCTGCATGGTCATGGCCACCCCATCACCTCCCCTGACCTCCACCCCAACTCCTTACCGAATAACGGTGGGGTAGAGCTCACCCGTGTAGAGGAAGACGCAGTTGAAGGACGCAGCCAAGCAACCCTTACCGAAGACAGCCAAGGCGGTCCGAAGTATCCGCAGGTCTGTGGGGATGAGGACAGGACATCTGGGACTCACTTTGGTGTCACTGGTTGGAGTTGGGTTGGGTTGACAGTGGGTGATGGAGAGAGGAGACCCCAAACGTAAGGATTTCAGGCAAATCATCCGTAAAAAGCTAAAATCACTCAGGCTGTGAATTGTGTTAAAGGGTGGAGCTTGTTTTGGCCCTTCCAGATGGTGCCTTATGGGCTGGAGATGAAGGGGCCACCATGGCCACCACCCCCAGTCCTCACCTCGTGGCACCAAGATGTTGGCCAAGATGGCCAGGCCAGCCAGGATGAGGGCAACGGACTGGGTGAAGCGTCGCCCCACGTAGGTGATGGTGAGGATGGAGACCAGCTTGGCTGGGATGTCCACGGCCCCGAAGATGAGCTGGATCACGTAGATGTTGAAGTCAAAGTTTTGCAGGTCCATGGCCAACCCGTAGTAGGCAAAACTGGTGGAGAACCTAGGCCAAGAAGAGGTGAGAAGAGGGAGCAGATCTCACTGGTTGGGAGGTGTGGGGTGGGATGTGTGGGTCTCACACCATTCCCTGGCCTATGGGATCCAGCCAGGAGATGTGTATCCCTTCCTGGAGCACGTGTGGGCCAAGAGACCTCTGTTGACCAAGTCCTGCATCGTGACTCGGTTTCCCTTTCCAATATGGACCCAGCTAAGGTAGGTGGATGCAGGAGGTGTTTGGGGAGGGGTGGACAGTGGGGTGGCTGGATCAACAACTGGGGGAGGGCAGATGGACAACCACCCACTGATGTTCTCCACCACCAGACGTACCACACGAAGCAGAGGCAACAAGAGATGCGGCGCACAACGGGCGTCCGGACCAGGTCAACCACCGTGTGGTGACTCCCCGATGAAGCCATCTCCTTCTGCATGTAGGACCTCAAGGCCTAGAGGGAGATGGGGGTGGACTCTGGGGTGGGAGGAGCAGAGAGAGGGGAACCAGGAAGGAGCTGGGAGGCGGCAGGGGATGG